TAAGTGCAGCCACAGCAACAACAGAAAATATGAATGTAAGACAACAAAACAGCCACTGATTTATGTCTGTGATAACTGCAACCTCTGCTTGGTGGCATGTGCCATACAGACAATCACTTTGCTTTCAAATCGTAAAGTAATTATTGGATGTATAAACGTAGGCCCAAATCATTTGACACTTAATTCAGTGGCCAGTGTATCGATCCTTTGCATATTTACAGTTGCACAAATGCAAGAATACATTCAAAGCAAACCAAGATAAAACAAAATCAAAACGTCAGTGCAGCCAAAAGCAACATAACGAAATATCATTAATATTCATGTACTATTCCGATATGGCCTTGTAGTGCGGTTGTTTCACGCAACACTGAACCGATAGTAACCTTACTGTAGTTAATGCAATAGCTCTTTTTACATCCTATGGTGATACTATAATATTACCTGTTTTTTTGTTTACATAAGGACTTTTTGCTGTAATAGTGCAGGCTTTCATATCTTTAAAATGTTTTATTTATACAATCCTTAAATAAGGACGGGGTCAGCTTGACAGGTAAAGCCTTATAAAGAAAAAAAAAAAAAAAAGATATAATTTGATTTTACAAATAAATGCAGTTTTCACCATCTAAAATATGGACGATCGACAGATTGCACCTCCAGCGTGAAATTCACAATAGTATTATCATAACAATAGACCCGAGTGGCGAGGATGGGACGGACGGCCGGAGCAGGAAAAAAAAAAAACTAAAGGTCTTCTGTGATGACAAACATAGAAATGGACACATCCATTTAAGCTTAAATATATATTTTTGCTTTCCAAACTGAGAACATTAACCAACAACTGAATGCCCGCAGTACCTGCAGCCTGAGTCCAAACACAATCAAGGGTGCAATGATTTCATATTCAAGCATATTTAGATCAGACTTTTTTCCTCTTTGTTTTAAGCACTCATTTTTAGATTGTCTTTGTTAGAGGTGAATATTTGTCTGGTAAAACCTTGCGATTCCAACTTTTACAACGCAAGCAGGGCTATCACAAAGAAATGTAAATATTTCATTAATAATGCTATTTAAGCCTAGGACATAACGCCTACATTAGAGCTTCTAACCCATGCTTTATCTCAAACAAACAGTAAATATAATACTCCTAAAAATATCCTCCAGGGCCTTATAGTGTACTTGTGGTCCTCAGTAGGGAATCACGGTGATAGTGTCGCATTTTCTTGCATCACAATATTCCTCTAAAAAGCCCTATTGGGATTAAATGCGTCTGTTTTTAGTCAAAACTGACTTTAATTTGACATTATTGCACTTCGTGGTATTTTATTATGTATTTTTCGTGTAACTGGACATTTTTTCAGCGATATTATTTTCTTTCCACATTTGCAGATCAGATGGGATTTGGCTTAATATCCATCTGAAATGTATTGTTTGGATTTTTCACCCCAGATATTCTATTTGTAATTCAAATTCAACATCGGAACAGTCATTTCTCGTACTTTTTAAAATATTTTCCTCTTCTCCTTGTCTTCTCTCTGCGTCCCCTGTAGCCTCTGCCCCTCCCTCCTCCCTCCCTCTCTCTCTTTCTCTCTCTCGCGGAATCCTATTGATCCAAACGGGCTAATTAGCGGTGTCTGCGCAATTACGCACATGCGCACTGGGCGTAATCTCAGCCATTTTTTGAAGGAAACTAATTAGCAGGAATAAAGAGCCAAGTGTTTTTCCCCCCACAGTGATCAGAACTCATTCTACCTCTGGAGCTCGCACAAACCCCTCCGTCCCCCATCTTCTGTTTACTACAGCCTATATGTAGCTTTAATTACACTGTTGTTTGGTAACAACTCGGACCCCGCTGCTCTCTCTCCCTCTCCCCGTTTTTCCTCCTGGCTCCGTAAAAACGCAGAGGATCATTCATAAGGAATGAGTGGGCTCTCTATACGATTGTTTTCTGGACTACTACACATTCAGCGTACGGAGCTTTGTACCAGAGCCGCTGCAGAAATGTAAGTCTGCCATTTGTTTACGATATTAGTAAAGGGACGTGGGAAGGAGCAACCCGGCGGTGGGGAGGTGGGGGTGTTTGGTCAGTGCAGTGTGTAATTCGCAAGAAAAATCACGCTTTTGTTGCTCTGCTTGTGCATTGAGTCACCTGTTACTGGATAGTGAACGCGATCACTCTTTGGTTTCGGCTGAATCGGAGTGTGGTACGGTGCGATCCACTGTAAACAAAGGCTGAAGTAGTCTGGAGGCTGAATGTTGGTCAGTGGCTTGACAACACACACAGACACGGGGAGTGAACTTCAAGTCGCTGCCCGTCCGGTATCCTCCAACCAACCCTCGCTAGTATAGCTCCCAGAATAACGCAAAATACAGCTTAATGGCATTACCTTGAGGTCGGTGTAGGCTGTGTGTGCTCCGTTGGGTCCTCGTGGGTTCAAAACAGTATTTGTCCATGTCCAACTGTATTTGTCCAGGTCCTATAATGACAAAACAAAATGCTTTTTCCTAAAGTATAGCCACAGAACTCCTCTCTGTCCCTTTCTCCCCCCCTTCACACCCCTGTCTCTCCTTTCTCTCTATTCTTAACACACACAGATACAGACACACAGACATACAGACACACACACACACACACACACCAGTCTAAGATAGTGATTCGGGGAACACACTTTTTGTTGGATATTTGGACATCATTTCACATTGCAAAATCTGCAGTATGCACACCCAACAACAAAGATGTCCTGTGCATTAATACCTTCAAACAGTTCTAATAAGTATTTTCAATTTCAGGTGTTTTGTGTGTGTGTGTGCTTAATTGACATTATCAGTATCAGTTTGCAGTGAACAACAGGATGTACACACACATTAACACACACATAGATGTACACACACACGTTGTTAAATGATGGTTTCCCGCACTTGTGATCGATATAGAGCCAGGAATGTTTGTATAAATAGTTACATTGCCAATAGACCCAGGTTATTGATTGCAGTGTAAATGAAAATCTTTATCAGATTAGAGACTGTTCTCAGCTGCTGGCAGGCAGGCTCAGCCCCTCAGCGCTATATCCGGAGTGGGACAGTGGACAGCTGCAGTGGGCAAGGGTCTGTGGCCTGTGACATAAACACAGTACATTAAAGCACTATCAGAGTGCCGATATGAGCCATATATCTTTAAGGTGCAGAGAAGGGAGAGGGGGTGGCTACAGCAGAGAGGGAGAGAGAGGGTGTTTAAGGAGGAGGAGGGGGTTGGTTGGTTGAAGGAGAAGGTGAAAGGGTACATTAAGGTCTCTCCTTGATTAAAAAAGGTCAGTAATGAGATTGCGGGACACACACAGAGTAAGAGAGATGTATCTGTCTCATCTGGCATCCATCTGTCAGTCAGAAACCGAAGAAGAGGATTGGCCTGATTTATTTTCTTTGGGTTGATGCATGATTGTGCTGGTGATTCAGAATCTTTTTTAAATTTGAATGATTAACTTAAATGTTTATAGTCATTCATTTATGATAAAATGTCATAGCCCTTTGCTAGTTTAATTAAAAACATTTATTTTCTAAAACCAAATGTAGTCTTAAAAAAAAAGCTGATTTTTAAACTTCAATTTAAAATGTTTTTTTTAACCACCATTGACAAAAATGGCACAATACTTGAAAAAGAAAAGAATACTTAGAAGGCATTCATTATTTTAATGTACATCACTGCTTTGGTGTTTATGTGAATGGTGTGTTTTATAGTGTGCAAGACAACACAGGGGCACAATATTAGACACAGTATTATACACATACACTGAGGGGTGGTCAAAATATAATACGCTGCATACCAACACCACTATTGCTGCACAAATTACCACAGATTTTAGTCAACAACACCCGTCTGAAATCGCAACAAAAATTGTATAAGATATATTTGCTATATTTTGGACTAAATTAGATTTTTCAGGTGTTTATGATGTTGTGTCCATCCCCTGTGTTTGTACTGTGTCTTATAAAATGGCTCGTGCTCAGCAGAGATGCCGTTTCCTCAAATATTATCTCTGCACTAATACACAACAAAAGATGTAGAGACGGATACACTGGCTTTAAAAACTGTTCTTTTATCCTCTTTTATCTAAGTGTGGCAATTTAGCGGAAGCCCTTTAGCTCAGAAGCGTTCAGTTCTTTATTTAATCCTATCCCCTGAGGAATATTATAGACCTCCTGCGTAGCCTTTACCCGCATTCCTCTACCTAGTTTAGCGCTCATGCTATTGATTTTCCCATTAAGGGCTAACGCTAACCCCTGAGTAACCAGCCTCTGTATTGCGCACTGTGAAGGCAGTATTGAACAGATGCTATCCAGGGACTGTAATCAATGGCCTCCACTGTTATGCAATACTATTTACATGACTCATGTTTTTAATTTTCTCCTCTTTTTCCCTTCACTTTTCTCCTGTATCTGTCTGTCCTTGTCTCTTCTTCTCTCTCTCTGTATCTGAAACACACAGGTGGGGTAGTAATGCGTGGCAGCTGTAGCCTCTGGTATGGACAGCGGTGAGGGAGGAGGAGGGGATGGAGGGGGAGGAGAGGAGAGAGATGCTGACCTCAGTCCCCAGGCTTTATCTCTTCCTCTCCTGACCCTGGCGGTCATTCCTGAGCAGGGGTCATCCTCTCATACCTCAGCCATGGCCCCTGCCAAAGAGCCCCTGACCCTGCCTCAGCAGCAGGAGGAGGAGGGCGCAGAGGGGTCCCAGGCTAGAGAAGAGACCCAGGGAGGTGAGCAGAAAGAAGGAGGCCGACATTCACAGGAGAATGAAGCGTGTCAAAAGCAGGGGATGAAGGAAGATTTCCGGGAGGGACATTTGTCAAGGCAAAGGAAGGAAGAAGGGGAGGTGCATGTAGGTGTGGGAGAGGCGTCAGTTACAGGGGGCCTCTCAGCAGCCCTTAGCAGCAGAGGCGGTGAGGAGGAGAAGGAAGAGGAGGAGGCCATCTCAAACCAAAGCCAAACCAAATCCAAATGTTCTTTATTACCTCAACAGAGCCAGCACAGCTCTTCTTCCAGCACTGCAAAGGCCAGTGGCACACTCGACAGCAAAATAGCCGCCTCTCCAAAGCCCTCCCCCACTCCTTCCACCTCTCCAAAGCCCTCCCCTTTTCTTTCCACTTCTCCAAAGCACTTCACTTGTCCGCCGTCCTCTTCTGCCCTGCTGAGCGAGACAGAGGTAAAAGACATTAATGGAGATCAGGGCTGGATTTCTGGGTTTCCTCAGAGCTTTAAATCCCAGCAGTCTACTCTGGCTTTTCCACTGGCAGGTACGGCGCCTGCCAGTACACCTGCTGAGGATGATGGGCCAGCAGGGGTTCCTCACTCTTCCATTTCCAATGGAGATGGTGCCAAAGCTCCAGAACCAAATGACAGCCAGCTAGACACAGAAGTAGATGATGAGAGAGACAAAGAAGAAGAAGAACAGAAAGAAGCTGTCCTTAAAAACCTCAACCAAGACCTCTCTCCTAATTCACTGACTAGTCACATGACCATAATGCACTCACGTAATTCCTGCAAGACGCTGAAATGCCCCAAGTGTAACTGGCACTATAAGTCTCAACATACACTGCAAGTCCACATGAAAGAGAAACATCCAGAGACGGGGGGCCAGTGTGTGTGTGGCGCCTCTGGGGGAAAGTGTGTTTGTGGTGGTGGAACACGAGACGTGTGTGGATATTGCAGTTCGGGGAAACCCCATCCTCGCTTGGCCCGAGGTGAAACCTACGCCTGTGGCTACAAGCCCTACCGCTGTGAGGTGTGTGACTATGCTACCTCGTCGAAAGGCAACCTCAGCATACACATGCAGTCAGATAAACACCTTAATAACGTTCAAAATGGGGGACACTCTAATGGTCACATGCACACTTCTCACATTACCAACAATAGCAGCTCCTCCAACGGTCACGCAGTGGATGAGCCAGCATACAAGCTCCCACTCTCTATTCCCACGCCTACTCCCCAGCCCGCCAAGCTCACAGCACCTGCACACTCTCATGGTAAGCGGTGGCGGTGTGATGTGTGTGACTACGAGACCAGCATTGCCCGCAACCTGCGCATACACACCACCAGCGAGAAACACACACATAACATGCTCCGGCTTCAGAGAGGTTACTATCTGTCTCACTGCCGGAGCCTTGCCCCGCAGCTCAAACACCTACAAAACACAGGTGAGTAATGCATCACATTGCTGTAATCCAATATACCGTAAAAGAAAATTGTGTACATTCTTAAAGGGTTTCTTTCTGTGTTTTAGGCGCCGAGCTCTCCCTGAACATGCGACTGACCAGTCAACAAGTTGCAGAACAGCCAGTCACCCTTGGGTCTACGCTGACTCCTTCTCCCTCCCCCTCCCTCTCTCCCCCTCCAGCCCCGTCTATGTCTCCCACTGGACCCCTCTCCCAGGGCGTGTTTCAATGCCTTGTCTGCTCCTGCTTTTCGTCTGACAGCTTGGAGTCTGTGGAGCAGCACCTGAACGCCCCTCGCTCTCTGCCCCAGTCTGAGTGGTGTTCCCTGGTCGCTGGTGGCTGTCACTGCAGGCTGTGTGGCTACACCACCCCGCTGAGGGCTAACTTCTCCTTGCACTGCCAGACTGACAGACACCGTACCCGGTACCAGCTTTCTGCTCACCTCCAGGAGGGTGGAAACAGGGGTCAGGAGGGGGCCGCCCTTATTGCTAAGGGCAACCCCGTCCAGCTGAGGTGCAACCTGTGTGACTACGTGACCAGCAGTTTGGAGAAGCTACGAGGACATTCCCTCAGTTCCCACCATGAGGCCAGCGTCCGGGTTTACAGAGTCAGTACACTTTCAATAATAACTCCTTTGTCGTAGGACCTGCAAGCAACTTTTAAACAAAAATGTATTTAACAATTCATGATAACCAGACTAGATTCATGAACCATTATCCAACCATAATAATTGTCTTGCTTTCTCTCCTTTCTACCTCATTATTTTAGTTCCTGCAGCAGTATGATGGTGAGGTTGATGGAGGTTCGTGGCTGTTCCATTGTCTACTATGCAACCACTCCTCCTCTTCTAAACTCCAAGTACTGAAACACAGTCAAACCCCAACCCATCAGCAGAGGGAAGGGCTACTACAGCTGCAGCCAATGGGCGGAGAGGAGCTGGCAGCCATTTTTACCATTAGGAAAAGCCCTGATGGTGATACAGGTGAGAATATGAACTGTGTGGGTGTATTTCATTTCATGTTGCATGACATCAAAGAGCTGACAGGGGATTATGATGAAAAGAGTGAGAAAATGAGTAATGGATGTTGCTGAGATATTGATCAAGTAAATTGATTAGTCAATACACATCCTTGTTATATCCCCAATAACCCTTGACAACAGCTAACTAGCACCTGCTAATCAATGGACCAATACAAATCCCCTGAACAAGAATGGGGGAGGTAGAGGCTATAGTCACCAGTCTGCTGTCTGTTCAAGATAAAACAGTTTTTTTCATTGTCTGGAGTGCTGGCACAACACCTAAAATGAGTAGTTCAACACTTCAGTTGTGAATTAAGTGTATCCAGTGATTTGTCACTGTGTGGATTAAGACTTATCGAGGTGAACTGATGTGTTGTAAGTCCATATTACCTCTACTCCACCTCTGAGGAGAATCTAATGGAGAATCAATACTTGATCAATAGTGTATGGAGGCAAGCAAAAAGAATGGAGTGTGGTCCAAAGACATTGGTCTTTTTGAAGGATGCTATCTAGAGAATAATAGAAACTACAATTAGCCTGATTGTTTGTGAGAACATATTGTGCGAAGCATAATGTTTGTATAACATAATTGTTTGTCTTGTCCCCTCCCAGGAGAGCTCAGTGAGGATATAGAAACTTCCAGTGAGACCATCACTGGTCCTTTGGACACAACCAAAGACACATGTAACTTGGGGGCAAAGCAGATTTCTGAGGAGACAGGTATGGCTGCTTCTATATGAAAAACAACCTATTCTACAACATACTATAAATAAAGGTTCAGTGTGTAGTATTTAGTGGCATCTTATGGTGTAGTTGCAGCCATTTAAATACCACTGTGTGTTCCAAAGGTATAGGATAAACTATGGTGGGTGTGAAATTTTACAAAAAATGTGAAACGGCCCTGTCTGGTGCCAGTGTTTGGTTTGTCTCATCTGGGCTACTGTAGAAACATGGTGGTTCAAGATGGCCGCCTCCATGGAGGGACCTGCTCTCCTGTAGTTAAAAAATGCTCATTCTAAGGTAACAAAAATGAAACAATTCCTTTAATCAGCTGATTAGACACTAATGAAAACGTAACTGTGAATATTTTATTCTATTTCTTACAAAAGATCCTCCTAAATGTTACACACTGGACCTTTTAATACATAAAGACTGTTAATAACATAGTCAATATCAGTCTATTAACATAATCATACACATTTTTACTTGAAGGAGAAACTAGGGAGGACGAAAGGGAAAAGAGGGAGTCATTGCCCCCAGTCAAGCGTCCATCCTCTGGATTTGAGGAAATGGAAAACTCCATCTCAACCAAACGCCCCAGAATACACCAGCAAAATGAGAACCAGCAGGTAAGCGGTTGACACACACTTGAATAATTTAAGTATGTCCATGTGAATATAAAATGTAGCAATTGACACAATAGAGTTCTATACCTGGAAGTTGCTTGTGTACAACTCATGCACATTTTTGCTCTCTTGAAGCTTTCTAATTCAACACCTGATCAACCATTTTTTCTCACTTCTTTCTTCCCTTTTTCTCTCTCCACTCATTTAGACTGTCCAGTGCCCTTTGTGCCAGGTTAAACTCTCATACATACACCTTCAACAGCATCTCACACATGTGCACAGTGTGGCGCAGGACTGTGTAGACAAGCTCATCAGCACAGTAAGTGTATGCAAGTGTGTATTTGTTGTATTTTGTGTTTGTCAGGAAGCAAAAGAAAATGAGAAGGCAAAGCGATGGGGGATGGGGGAGAGTGAAATGTAGGGAGACAATTCCATTAAGAAGGCACCAGAGAGAAAGGCAGCGCTTTTTTTAATGCATGTTTAAGTAGCTCCCCGCTATCATCTTTGATGCAGCCGTGCATTCTGTGTGTATGTGTATGCGTGTCTTTTTAGAGTGGAAGAGCGAAGGTTTGACTGAGTGAGTGAGGGGAAAGCCAGTCTTTCTATAATGCATGTTTAAGTAGCCCTCTATTACCAGAAGTGCAGTCAAGCTAAAATGGGCCCCCCATGCTTTTTACTGTGTCTCTCCAACTAACAAAGACTGGTCATCTATCCACATCACCATCCTCCATCTCCCTGGCCCGTATGCTAAGTGGCCTTTGTCTCTTGCGCTCTTCGCCTCCACTTGACTGACTGCTTTTCACCCTTTCTCCCCTCTGCTGTCCCTTTCTCCCCCCTCCAGCTACTCCTATCATTCCTATTCAGCAATCTCTGTACCTGCCCCTCCCTTTCTGTCTCTCCCAAGCTCTCTCTCAATTTCTTATGCGTTACCCCTCCCTTACTCACTCTCTTCCTCCGAAGCAGTTTTTTTGTTCATTGCCCCATGCTTCCTCCCTCCCTCCCTCTCCCTGCTCCCTCTCTTTTTCATATTCTACACCCCTTACCCCCCCGACCCCCCACCATCGTCCTCCCTCTTACCCCTCCCTCACTCTCTCTGATAGTAATTGAGGTTCATTAATTCAGACTGAGGTGATGATGGCCATTATGTACCTTGCTTTCCAATTACGCTCTCTAGATTAAGCCTGACCTTCAGTTTTCTCTGCAGTGTGTATGTGTATATGTGTGTGTGTGTGTGTGTGTGTGTGGTTGTTCTTCTCTTTCTCTTTTATGAAGCTGTTACGCAGAGAAAACTCTTGTCATGTAAATCTCATCTTTAGCTGTCTGTCCTTTCCTTAGGGTAGCTAGCTGTATGCATAGATATAGTATTTCGCCTCAGTGCTTGAAGCTGTGGAGATGGACGATTTCTATATGAAGAATGATTTTAAATAAATTCATTATTCAGCTCAGTAAAGTTTTATTAAACCCTTGGGGCATGTTGGAGGGTGTCGTAGGAGCTGAAGGGCAGACCCACATATCTCAGCCATATACACTTATTACACTAAATTCATGTGCCTTGCTGTCTATACTGCTGTGCAGGCAGGTGCAAGATGTAACGATACACTTAGTGATTCACACTTTAATGTTTTATGATATTAGGACAGGGTGTGCAGGCACACTCCATGTTTATACATCTTGATATTAACTTGCTATTATGCTGTACAATTAAATATGTTTTATTCATAAAGTTGGATTAAGAAAATATGGTAATATCCCATATTTCTTTTTGTGTGAATTGGTAAGACAAAACCGAGTGTTACTGGCAATAAAAAAACAAAAAAAGACTAAAGCTGACAGACCATAACATTTTTTCTTCCAGGTCACACTATCCATGAAACAACAGCAGCCTCAGCTGCAGACGGAACCACAGACAGAGTTGCACACAGATGATACTCAGAAAAATAAAAACAAGGATAATGCAAATTGTTCCCATACTGCTGATTCACTTGCCTCAGTTGATTCACAGAAAAACAAAGGTTGGTATAAAATGCATGACAAAACTGACCACAATTTAGATATTAATTAAAGAATCCTAAATACCAAACCATGTCACGGTCACTTGTTCAAAACACATTTTGTTGGCCTAATGTAAAATAATTTTCAATTCACCATCACTATTTTTATGCATTTTGTAGGTATGTCAGTGGAAAACACTGAGGGAGATGTAGCCGCACCCAAAGATGTCACAGCTCTACTCACCCCACCCTTAGAAGACAACACCACTCACCCTTCCAATGGCAGACTGGCTCCTCAGTCCCCAACTCAGTTCTCCCCCTCTTCCCCGCCCTCCTCCCCACCCAGCGATCCCCCACTTCTGTCTGATCGCCATGGTTACCGGTTTCGTTGCAGCAGGTGCAGCCTGGCGTTCCCTACTCAGGAGAAGCTCCAGCTGCACTGGCAGTACCATGCCATGAGGGCGGCGACAGAGTGCCCCCTCTGTTCTAGACAATGCCGCAGTCAGGAGGCCCTGCAGAGACACATGCAGAACACACACTCACAGCTGGACAACACACAGGGGCAGAATACACTATTACCGCCTCATAGCGCGCAATACATGGAACATAATAAGAGTTCAGTTCAACAAGATTTTAGTTTATCACCTCAAGTGGGTCAAGAAGCAGGAGAAGATGAGGATGAAGAGATAGAGGAAGAAGCCCTAGGCATGGAGGGAAAGGAGGAACCAAAAGAAGAAGTTCAACTGAAAGAGAAGGACATGGTTGGTGAAGTTGATGGAGGTGAGGAGGATTTAACTGAGCCAGGGCCACATGAGGAGATTATATCAGAACCTAGTTCCAGCTCTCTTGTCAAAAAGAGTTCTAACCCCACAATGGACCGCTATCTGGATCCAACTAGGCCCTATAAATGCACCATATGCTCTGAATCTTTTACCCAGAAAACAATTCTTTTGGTCCATTATAACTCTGTGTCCCATCTCCACCGGGCCAGACGAGCCCTGCAGGACTCTGGTACAGGTGTTGCTGCCCCCGAGGCTCCCCGTGGGCAAGATTCAAGGCCCTACCGCTGCCGATTGTGTGGAGTGGGCTATAGCCAGAGCTCCACACTGGACATACATCTTCGCTCTGTCCTTCATCAGACTAGAGCTCGTGCTGCCCAGAACTCAGCGCCACAGACCCCAGCATCTAGTGTAGCGGCTCCAGGGTCAGTCCACACTACTGCTATTCAGGCTGCCACCACCAGAGAGGAAACATCCAAGAATTTTTCTTTCACCAAGAGGCCAGATGTAGTAAGCTCTTCAACCTCTTCACTACAAGGCTTAGCAGCCGAGGCTCAGCCAACCCTCTCTAACCCAACTGACAGCCAGCACACTAAAAAGAGAGTGGCAGAGCTTCTAGCATCAAGAAACCAGCTAATGCTAATACAACAACAGCACTTAGCCCAGGCTCAGGCGCAGGCCCAAGCTCAGTTACAACAACACACAGCTCTGCTCCAGTCCCAATTGTTACAGCACCTTCCCTTAGGACTAGAGAATCTCCACTTCCCCCTAACACCAGACAACTTGCTCTCTCTGCAGCAGCAACTTCTTTTGCCCTTTTACTTGTCAGGGGACATGCAGTTTAACCCAGAGTTAGCTGTAAAGATCCCAGAACTGAGTCAGTTTGTATCTGCCAACACCATCCCAAAAGAGCAAGTTAAGGCAGAGGCTAAAAGCGAGTCTCAGCCCTTAATAGATGAGAAACAAACACAGAGACAAAGTTCAAACTCAGCTGTTAGCCAACCAAAGGACCATATGCAGTGTGAAGCCAAGGTTGAAGCAGGTTGCAGTGGATCCTCCATCATCCAGACAGAAAGAGAACAGAGCAATTCTAGTCTTGAGGAAGAAAAAGAAGAAATGCTTGTTTCTATTGTTAAAAATGAGAATCAGAAGGAAGAAACTCCGTCCTCCTCATTTAATCTTCTTGGGTTGCAGTGTCCTCCTCCCAGAGTGCCCTATGCCGCTGTAAATGGAGAGCCTCTCAGAGCCCTGCTGCAGAATTATGGCTATGAGTTGGCACTGCAGTATATACAAAGTAGACACAGACACCAGCAGCAGATATCAACTCATATGATACCAGATCAACAAGAGTTCTCTGATATAAACACGATGGATGTGTGCTCAGAAGAAGAAAGAGATAAAAAGATGGTAGGCTGTAAGAAGGATAACAAAGGCAATGGAGAGATAGAAGAGCAAGCAAAGGGAAAAGGATGCTGTGGAAAAGGAGAAAAGTGTAGCGACTGTGGAAAGTTCTTTTCAGATGCCTTGATTTTAAAAAGCCACCAGGAGTACATTCACAGAATGCTTTTTCCCACTGCTACACTGGAGAGGTTTTCCAGAGAATACAGGCTGCAGTATGACCAGATGTACCCTATCACACAGCCTAAATCTGGAGAGAATCCGACAACGTGCACCCAAGCTGCAGTCCCATCCTCACAATCAGAACTAGCACCAGAACCAGTTAAGCATCAAGTTAAAACCCTTGCACCCTCACCTGTACCTTCAGTTTCAGACCCCATAACCAAACCATGCACTCCAACTACAGAGCTAACACCAGCTGACACTGCACCACCTTCTCCTGAATTTCCTTCTCAACCTCGAGATTTTTCACAAGAGGCACCCATCCCAAGCACATCTGCTTCAGCTATTTCTCAAACCACATCCCCAGCCAAGTCCATACCTCCTACCTTATCTAAAATGCCTATGCTTCCTCTCTCCATGCCCCAGTTTCCTTTGCCCCCACTGACTTTACCTAAACTTTCTCTACCCCCCCTACCTTTTCCTGTGGAGCTACCACTCCTCCCTTCAGTTGTGATGCAGTCTGTGGCTCTACAGTCCCAACCTTGGTTAGACTCGAGTATGAATCCTGAGTTGGCAAAACTCTATCAATCTCAACTCAACACAGCGCTGCTAGGGCAACAGGCACAGCTTAGTCCAGCTTTGCTAGCCCAGCAACCTCAGCTCAGCCCAGCTTTGCAAGGTCAGCCTTCACAACTCAATACTGTGCTGGTGGGTCAACCATCCCAACACAGCCCAATCCAAACAGGACAGCAACCCCAAGTCAGCCCAACAATACTTGAACAACAGGGTAAGAGAACCCGAACACGAATTTCTGAGGAACAACTAACTGTTCTGAGAAAACACTTTGATATTAACACCCTCCCCAGTGATGAAGAGGTCAACAAGATGTCTGCTCTGTCTGGTCTGCCTCATAAAGTCATCAAACACTGGTTTCGCAATACGCTATTTAAAGAGCGTCAGCGAGACAAGGATTCCCCTTACAATTTTAATAATCCCCCAACCACAGCCCTGGAAGAATCCAGAGAGGAAGTAGTACAAAACCAGCCTCTGAAACTTTCCCCATGTTCATTGTCCCCGGGTCATCCAGTCAGCACCTTCCAACAGCTGCAGACAACAGACCCCCAGAGAGGAGAGCCCCATAGGGGCCGACGCTCTTCCCGTACCCGTTTCACGGAGCAACAGCTGGAGACACTGCAGACGATGTTTGAGGCCACTCCCTACCCCAGAGAAGACGAATATGACAGGTTGTCTGCTATGTTATCTCTCCCTAACAGAGTCATTGTTGTATGGTTCCAAAATGCAAGACAGAGAGCCCGCAAAAATCAAGACCGAGGGACGGACGATGAATTTGATGGAAAGAACCAGCTTGACAACATTCACAGACAGAGAAATGGCTGCCACAAGAATGATGATGATCATGAGGATAACAGCTGTGGGGATGAAGGCCAAGGAGAATCTCAGAATGAAAACTCCATGGATCTGACCTATGAGTATTACACCAACCCTGACTCACCTGTCCTTGATTCTTCCACTCACTGCACAGAAATAGAGCATCCAACAGCCAAAGGTGAACCAACACCTGTTACTAGGAAACAAGAAGATAAAGCAGTCTCTCCTGCGGCTAGCAAGAGCCCAGCTCTTGTGCAAGCTGAAAACGGTGTTTCAGATGTAGACATCCAGCAGAAGGAAATTGTCCAGGCCATGAAAACAGGGTCCTCTCCACAACCTGATCCCAATATGCAGTCAGAAAGTACTCCAGAAAGACCCCACCCTCACTCTTCCTCCTCTTCCCAAAAAACAGTACCCACGGCTCATTCCAGCCAGGGGCATACTTACAACTCTCCTTCTGATCAAGCTGTTGAAAAGCCTACTGATACATCACCCAGCCTCCCTGCTGCTCCAGAGTCTGAAACAAGCCACATTCGGCTACCTGATGCCACCTCTGGCCTATCCACTGAAACTCAGCCAAAAAAACAGCTCCAATCCCAAACCCAGGCTCAGTTCCAGTGCAGTCTCTGTCCAGTATCCTTGCCAACATTCCAGCTGTGGCAAGAGCATCAGACCAGGCACCTCCTGGCAGCTCAAACCCAAGTCCAATTTCTCCACTCTGGCTTCACAGACCGAACCATGCCTTACATGATGCTGCATCCCAACCACACCCTCATGGCCAGCCAAATGCTTTCAGGTGCTATGTCCCAGATGCACCCTAATCCCACACATCCCATGATTTCACACTTAAACAGCATACAAATTAAAAACACACTCTCTGATCACTCAAATAATACCCTCACCAGCCTCACGCAAAGTTCTTTGACACCATTGAAGCAGAATTCAAAGCTTATGCCAGAGACCAGTTTTGAAGGCCAAAGGAGCAGTAGAGAGGTTGACGAGGAGCACCGAAGGGATAAGCGTCAGAGAACCACCATCACTCCAGAACAGCTAGAAGTGTTGTACCAGCGCTACAGCTTGGACTCTAATCCTACCAGAGGAGTCCTGGAAAGCATTGCACGCGATGTAGGCCTCACAAGACGTGTGGTTCAGGTACTTAATGGATGTTTGTTGTGTTTGAATATGTGTGAAGGAAATGTTTTTGAGAGCGAGAGGGACAGAAAGGAAGGCATTGAATCTTGAATTTTAAAATATACTGGTCTTTTCTTTACAGGTCTGGTTTCAAAATACACGAGCCAGAGAGAGAAAAGGACAGTTCCGGTCAATGGGGCCAGGATCCAGTTTTAGCTTGGGTTTCAACCACCTGCGCTGCCCATTCTGCAGGGCTCTCTTCAAGGTAAAGAGTGCTCTGGATGCCCATATGAGGTCACGCCACTGGGCAGAGGCTGAAAGAGCAGGCTACAACTTATCGATGAATAATGGATCTAATGGGCAGATTGGGATGGCTATGTCATCTGTCATGGACAGGCCAGGCCCATCTGTCTCCTCCAACCTTATCCCCAACCATGGCTATGTCATTAGCAACAAAGAGTTAAGTGTGAAGCCACCTGCGACATCTTTTTCTGTAACCACTGATCTGAACAACCCAGAGGAGGAGGATGATGATTATGACGAAGATGATGAGGACTACCCATGTGAGGAGGGTTCCAGTATGGCTGACCAAGCTTCTCCTAGTCCTGAGGGATCTGGGGGTCCGAGCTCAGATTGGGGTGAGACACAAACTCTGCAGCATCACCACCATCAGCAGCAGCGCCAAAGGACACAGATGAGCCACTTCCAGGTACTCCAGCTCAGAGACTTCTACAGGAGCCACCGTACCCCCAACCGACATGAGTGTGAGGCACTTGGCCAGGAGTTGGGACTGCCTCACCGTGTGGTACAGGTAAATCTTTCAAATATTCATAAATAATAAAACAGTAAAAATACAGTTTGATCTGCCTTTAATAAAGATTAAAAAATGTATATTTTAAAGGTGATATTTATCTTTTTTTAAATCTTTTTTGCAGGTGTGGTTCCAGAATGCCAGAGCCAAGGAGAAGAGGGCCAGGAGCCTGAGCTCTGACTCTGCAGAGAGGGAGCAGGCGGAGCTTTCCGCAGGGGCAGGGGAGAGAGACAGAGCTTAGAGAGGCAGACTACGGTCCTTTTGCTTCCTTCTACTACATTCTCCCCAAAACCCCTCCTGCACCTGCTGTTGACCTCTAAACATATACCCTGTCCACTTTGCTGCCAAACCTGTAACCTGAACACCCCAAAGATGCAGATCCACAGTGGCCCAAAGACAAACTCTCTCAACTGAAAGTCGGAGAGAGCCCAAACCACGTCCTCTTTACCACAGCTTTCCTCTTTTCATATTGTTCTTAAACGCTTTTTCCTGGACTATACTTTCTTGTTGAAAAGAGCTCCTCTCCCTGTTCTGTCAGACACCTTACTACAACCAAACACCACCTTGATAAAACCAACCAGATGCCACAGAGGCCAAAGAGCATTCTCCAAGTATATGATGACCTCACTGCCCAGCTAGACCTGCAGTCTACCTCTCAGTCTGCATGACAGACTCACAGTGGGCCCTCCACCAGACAGTGCTAGATGACTAGCTGTGTAGCATGTAGTGCCAGCCCGTAAGAGGCTGGAAAAGAAATTGTCAAAGAGATTTTAGTGTAAATAGAGAGCTCCAAAAGATAAACTTGAAGAAAAACAAAGCAGTTAACAGTGGAAGAAGATGATGGAAAAAAAAAAAAAGGAAAAATAACCTTGAAATAGACGGAGGTATTCGCATAGAGCTTTTGTAAAGACTGACTCAGATTCCAAAGCTCGTAACCAAAATTTTACATGTCTGTGGATTTAGTTTCAACATGTTTGTTTTCAATAACAAACTGCAGAGTTGACGTCTGTACCGTGAATGGGTGAGATCTGCAGCTGGCCTAGATAAGCCGAGTACCAATAGACTGATACGGTGCTAGAATGCAGCTTCACCCTCCACAAGCCAATGATGAGTCTTCTGTTGTACATGTACACCTTCTATGTTCCTTTAGTGGAAAAAAGCCCAAATAGCACAGAACGTAAAGGCCAGTTTGTCCTGTCCGGGCAAACTATTTTTTATAGCACTCAACCATTATACTGTATATGAAAACTTTAACCAAACTCAAATTTACATTGTGTGTGTTTAGTAATAGTTTCTTAATATAAATCTTATGGATTGAGATAAACTGTCTTGCTTCGATATAATAGTGTCATGATTATGAAAAGATTATGACAGCTTTGATATGTTCAGGCAAGGTGACTTACTGCCTTTCCGTTCTATTTGAATATACCAATGGCTGACCAATGTTATGTGATTAATGTAAAGCTTTCTATGCTCAGGTCAACGGCTCAACTCGGCTCTGCTTCAAATGTGATCTTAATACTGTACTTTTCTGTTTTTAAAACAGTAGAGGCATGGTTTAACCTTGGACTAAGTATTACTGATAGTTACAAAAACATCTCTGTATTTCAAAGATCTGAGCTTTTCACCTCTGAGTAATAGATTGTTACAAAAACCTTATTGAAACTAAAGTGTTTAATAGTGTGAGGGGTAAATGTACAGTATTTAGCTTTTGTATGGTTGACTCAAGACTTCATTGGATGATTGAGACATAGCTCCCTTTTCCACTTACAGATAGGGAGCTACTGCGCAAAGCTGAGAAAAAACTTTGGATGTTATTGATGTTATTTTTGTACACTTAATTTATTTTCCCTCTTTCTCCCTCCCTATCTACTTTCCTCTTTTTCTCTATACATTTCTTCCTGTGTTCATTTGCAACCAGTCCTTATTCTAACTGTAATAATGATAATATAACAATAATAGCTAAACAATAATTAATGCTTTAAGACAAAAATCCAAAGACGTGATAATACTTTAACCATATGACCTACAAAAATAAGCGCTACTGTTTACTTGACGATGTATTGCTGTTTTTAAAGAAGGAAGGAGTCCCTATATCTAAGCTACTGTTTTCTGCCTCTCATAAGCACACTGGAGACTGTAACCAAAACCCCAAACTAGAGCCATGGCAGTCTGTAATATAGCGGTTAAAGAGTTTTACTTCTCTGGAGAAATGTTGCAGTTTATTTTTCTTTCTTTTTTACCATAGTGTTGAACTTCAGCCCTTAAGGATGTCCAGTTTGCTGCTAATGTACTGTAGTTTCTAACGATACTGTAGAAAGATGCATGCTCTGATCGCTTTACCACTAGGCTTTAATGACTACAAACTGTAATGATACCTGTGATGCTGTTGATAAACTGCTCCTGTGTTATTCTGGTGAAAACAAATGGATATGTGGGGCTCAATTCCATCAGGTTTGTTTTTCAGTATCCTATTAATTACCCCATCTCAGAAGATAAAAATGGCTTTCGTAATACCAGAAATATTTTTTCAAGCTTCCAGTTTCAGAGAAACCTGCCTGGGGCATTAACTTCTCAATACTTATGGAGATACTGCATAGCTATTTGAAGGAGTTCAGCCCCAAACCTTCCACTGGTATGTTGTCAGTCTTTCTGTGTTGCAATGTCTCTAGTCCATTTTTCCAGCTAAAACAGCTTTGCTGAACTCAGACTGACATCACAGCCAACTTTCCAAAGGATGTGGACTGACTAACTCTGTCATGTTTTGTTCTTAAACTAACCAATGTTTACGACAATACCAATGAGCTTTCTTCTGTACAGAAATGTGCATTCCAAAAACCACAAAGGCAGTTTTTTTGTATACTGATTATTTTGAATTTCATTTTATCTCGATTTAATATCTCGTATTCTCTTGATCTTAGTGACTGTAAGATGTACATATTGGGGTCCTCTATGGTGAAGGGACTCTGTTATCCTTACTGTAGGTAAAACTATTCTTTTCATTTTTTGGATATGTTGTTGCCATAGTGATGACCAAAAAGATACCTGTGATGTGCACCTGTCCTTATGTCTTGCTCCAGTGGTTTAGTGTGTCTCTATACTCTCCCTCTCCCAGTTCTCCCCTACTGGTGTGTGTTTCTCTTCCTTTCCCTTCCCATATTCCACTGAGCTAAATAAAGTCTGCTTTGGTGCATGCCCTGGTCTCATCCCTTTGGTCTAACCGAGAGAATCCATTTTGTGAATGCAGTGGTATGTGAGGGTGTCTGCCTGTTATACCAATGTGTTTCATATTCCAGGTTGTATGTTCAGTGGTGGTGGGTGTCTGGCTGGAAATCTTTTGATGTGCAACTGTGTGTGTGTGTGTGTGTGTGTATGTATGTGTGTGTATAACACAGCAGTGTGTGGAAGGCGTTTGGTGAATGGAGCCATGACCTCTGGGGTCACTTCATTAATTACATCTGTGACATTCAGCCAGATGAGTTTCCTTTGTGACTAAATGATATGATGAATATTAACGACCTCGGATGAATTACACTGCTGCTTCTGCTGCTGCTCCTGATGATAATGTGTTTTACGACTCTGGGAGAGAGGGGAGGAAAATTGCACACTACAGCACATTTAGGACACGCAGATTTTCATATGCAACATTTCAAAGACCACAGCGTAGATTTTTAGAGTAGATTTTATTATTTTGTTCTTCTGAGTAAAACTTTTCAGTGGTTGATGAGACAACTTGCCGGAGAGGAAAAACTACAATACAATAATCCGTTGTTCATTCAGAATCTCAAGCAAAAACTGGTGTTTACTTCTTGTTCTCTAGCAGCAAGTCATTCATTTAACCATTACACATAAATGCGACAACAGAGGAAACATATCTGTGAAACACTTCTGATTGGGGTTGCAGGGAAAAGACAAACCGATTCATGGGGGGAACAATAGCAAAGTAAACACAGAAGAGGGCTTGAGATAGCTTCGTAGCTGATGATAGCCATCTTAGAAAGTCATCCTGATAAAGTGATCCCCCACCATTTCTCCTTCTCCCTGTCCTCCCCCTCTTAATCAAATGAGCACTGTGCAGCTGGTGGGGTTGCGGCAAAAAGGGGTACGAGTGTGTGTGCAGAGGAGGTAGAGGGGGGGGGCTTTGAGAGATGGCGTGAAATTATTGCCTGCTGGTGTATATGTGTCGCTGGGGGTAGTAGGGTAGAGTAGGGGGTTGGGCTGGGGCTGGGGGGGTGTAATGTCATTGCCTGCTGGTGTATCTGTAGTGGGGGCTCATTTAGATTTAGATTGGTTATGTGAGGAGAGAGCTGAAAGGCCAGCTCATGTTTATGCATGAATCCCAAAGCATGCTGCTGTGGTGGAGCCCTGAGTTAAAGAGACAGAGCTGAAATACATTCGCACATTTAGACACAGCTCTGCTTCTCTTGGTAAAGCTTCGGTGGTATCGGTGCTATCAGATACATTTCAATCAGTGTGTCTGTGTAGGCCTGTTTGTGGCATTCTGCACACACACATAGACTCTGTCCAAATGAATATCATGCTGCTTCTTTTATTAAAAAAAAGTGTGTCCAGTAATCTTAGTTTTAAAAACGTAAACATCACTACCCACTGCCCGGCTGTGTCCTAAAGATTGCTTTGGTATCTTCTATAGCTGATGCAGAGCTACCCACAGTACATGGGTGTCTCCCACATTATACTCACTCACACACCGAGAGTAATCAGTAAATGTCTTTGAAGGAGAGTTTGTTCAGCACTTCATCAGGTATAAAGTGGTTTTTATTTGGAAATGTGGTCCCTATCCATCTTTTAAATGACTTTTTAATGGTCGTCACACCATCCTAATCAATCATGTGGCAGAGCTAGCCTGCAAGCGCAAATACACTCTATTTATAATTCCTACATTCTGCTGCAAAAACTGACACTATGTGCCTTCTTAGGACTGTAAATGAACAAAAAAATGATTGAAATTGTCTCTCTGATTTTGTGGAAACATTAGAAAGACTTCCTATACTGATCTGGAGCATGCTAGTTATGAGGCACCCCGTGTAATCTGTCTTTATATTATATTGGCTCTATATAGCTCTGTAGAAAGGGCGGATAGTATAACTTTGTAAAATACTGCTGTTTATTGTCATTCTTGGAAGTCTACATTCAGGCCCACACTTATTTTGTGACCCCTCACCATCCCCCACCACACTGGTGCCACTCCATGGACCCCCCTTCAGTACTTTACATCTATAATGAGATACAAATACGCATCAGCAGGACAGTGTCTACGCCACGCGTCACTGTGTGAATATTACTCACACTTATTAGCTGGATTATGTTAATCTTTACACTCTCTGCTCACAGACAACAGACTCCCCATGATATGGGGGTGGTCACGGCAGTAAGCGTGTGTTGTCGTGTGTGTTTGTGTGTGTATGGCTGTATGTGTGTGTTGGAGTGATTGCCATGTTGTCAAACTGATCTGCATGTGAAAGGGCGGTCTAATTACATCACTTATGCAAATGAGAAATACATGTATTTGCACATGCATACACACCACTGACAGCTTACCACTAAGGTCAAAAAGACAGTGTGAGCTATCTTCTTACTGACTAACACAGAGTGGCATCACCACCTGTCAGAGATAGACATGTCTTGACACAATACATATAAGTCACAATAGCTGTTTTGATACACTCCTTCAGATAAATAAAAAAAAAAAGTGGATGGGTCTTACAGTAGACTAAAGCACTTAGACTGTTATTGGAAAATGTCCGACTGCATCTCAACTGATTAGTCTTTTTTCAGACTGAAACATTGATAGTATCCCTGTTGGAATGATTGATTGAGTCTGACACATTTTAATTACGCCCAAATTAAATGAATCGGCTGGCGGACTATAAAACATTGCTGTTTAATAACGAGTCCCTCCATTTGCCTTTTTTTTTCCTTCCTTCATCCAATCCCATTTTGGCTGCCCGCACCAAATAACCTCTCTCCATTTAATGATATGCAAATGAATTTTCATGAACCCCATGATCCCATGCGATGATTAAACTGAGATGACATTAGCTGCCATGCTGCTGCCACTGTCAGTGTTTCTGTCTGCCTCTTTTCTCCTTTTCCCTATCTATACCATCTTTCTTCGTATCCACGACAACGGCCAACTGGTGATATTAAGGGGTTCACTGTCACCATTCCCTTATGAATTTGCTTTGTGAGGGACGACCTTCTGCGTATCCAGTGTTATTTCAGAGAAGTTTTTCCAGTGGCAACAGAGATGGAGCATTAGAGCGCGAAGTGTTTTCGCACCACATGTGGTAGTGGTAAACCAAAGACATACATCTTACAACAATATGCAATTATTGTAAAGCAAACATCATATAGACAATTTTTGTAACCTTCCACATCTCTTCATTTTCCACTTCCAGTGCTCCCCTCCTGCTGTTCCGTTTCAGTCTGGATTCAGCTCCACCTCTGCTGTCGTTTATTGTACTCCATTTGCATAATGAAGCCCAGGCTTAATTAAGATCCCACTGGAGTCTGGAGCCAAGGATGAAGGAAAGAAGGACGAGGAGGAGGGGAGGGGGGGATCCAGCGTTCCTTAGCTTATCCGCACGTGTCCAAATAGGAGGCACAATTTAAGGGGGGAGAAAAGCGTTGACGAGCGATTAAATCGCTAATTATGATCGGCTGTTAGAATTAGTGTGTGGCTGTTAATTAGCTGCAGATGAGATGCCCAGACAGTTGCCCGCCCCTGACGACTGCAGCACCCTCCCTGACTGGCAATAGAGAAACACAGCTTGACACCCTGGAGATGATGCCAACACATCCCTCCCTTTGACACACACAGCAGTCTGAGGGGATATCCCTTTAAGAACATCCCAGGTGTGCATGTGCAGGAAAGAGGCTCTTCATCATCCTTGTCCACCCACTCCCAGTGTTCTTCGTTAAGCACAAAATTCCTCATTTTTTCTTCTTCTATAGCTTTTATTCATTTGCTCATTATTCCTGTTCTCTTCCTCTCCATACTGGAATGGTACGATCCCTTGTCTAAGTTCTTTGTAATGGGCAGCAGCTTCCTTCCAGTGCAGCAGTTGGCACTGAGTAGAGTTGGCATTGAGGAAATGGTTTTTGTCCCATACTCCCACCACAGTTGCATTTGTGGCTCTGGTTTCAACCTTCTGCTACTATTTTGTGTCCGCATTTACTACGCTTTTGTACGGCTTCTGGTGGCGCCCGTGAATGCCTCCCAGTTTGCGTCTGGCATGGTGCCATCTCTGTTTCTGGGCTCTCCCTTGAGGGGATGCCATCGCCAAAACATTTAAGGCATCCGAAATGTTCTGCTCACCGTATGGAGGTTTCTGTTTGCAAATGTGTGTGTTATGTTGGCTTGGCAGCGTGCCATCTCTCTCCCCGTGCCCTCGCCACCCCTGAAAAGATGCCATCACAGAATCGCTGGCAACCGTTGCCTGGGCACCTCTTCTTGGCTTTGTCCTAGCAAACAAACGGTGATTAGCAGCAAATCCTCCGAGGTGAGTCTCCACGTCTTCGACTAAGACAGTTCTCCACCGACCGCTTTGATCGCTTTGGTTGTGCCATGACTGCGGGCTGGCATGGTGCCCGCTGGCTGGCACGCAGCGGATGGCACGCAGCGGCTGGCATGGAGAGAAAGAAAAGTAGGAAAACGGACAGAATGCAAGATTTTCCGCTGACGATTTCCTTCGTATGATCAATGGTCATCACGGAGTTACACCTTACAGTTTCACAGTATCATCCATTTGTCTCTTCAACATCCTTCTACGCTTCCCTTCATTAATCTACATCTGAGTCATCCTCTGTCTGCTGGCATCTTGCTTGCTCACTTCCATGCTCTACTGTCCTCTGATGTTTTCTATATATTCCTTTTCTCTGCCCATTGTGCTGTTAGTTTCGCCCCATTGTGCCTGTGCCAAGGTGGCACTATGGTAGTAGTATGGAGGTCTGTTTCTCTTCCTCTTCCATTCTTATTCTCCTCGCCCCTTTGCCCATGCCCATGCCCGCCCCCGCTCAAGTCCTGACTGGATGGCACTGTGCCAACCTGCCACCGCCATCGCTCTCATTTGTAGCTCATCCCTCCGTTGCCCTTCCCCCTGTCTCTACATTTCCATCCCTCTCTCTTCCTCTCATTTCATTCATCCACTTTCTGAATCATTTAGCCTCTCTGTGTATATGAAATGCTCTGTTTGTATATACACAACATTACTTAACTGACACACATACAACTTTTCATTTCTTAAAAGCGTGCCGTAATTCGTCCGTCTTTGTTGTCATTTGGGAGACTTTTTTGGCACCTGAAGGAATGCGCTGAGTGCCTGCTTGGTAGGTAATTACCGCAGCAGTTACTTATTCCACCGAGACAAGAGGAGAAAGACGGAGAGAGCCCTGAGTTTCGAGAAAGCTTGTGTTGTTTTAATTAACTTTTGCCAACCCCCATCACGTGTGCTTCGTTTCACATCTCTAACATCCTTTTCCCAGGTTGTGCTTGTTCACACGCGCACTATACCGCAAAACGATTGATCCGATTATCAGTGAAATCGATGAAGTACTATTGACTTCACCCTTTTTACTAAAATGGCCCTTTCTCCCTTGTTTTTCTTTTTTATCCACCTCTTTAAAACCTCTCGTTTCAAACAAAAGCTGCCAGTGGTGGTGGAGGTATTAAGCAAATACTCTCATTAGTACACAAAACATAATGAATATGTAAATGATGTGTGTAATTTATGCATGGGCTGAGAGACTTGTGCTCTTTTCACTCGTCCATTGTATTCACTCTATTTATATCCCCTTTGCTTAAAACTTCACACTCTTACGCCAATTCTGCTCCTTTCAACCTTTGAATGAATCCATGGGGGGCTGCTATTGGTTTTACTATTGTCTCTACTCACTATTTTTTTTACTCACTTCTCCTTGCCTTTAAGCATAATTTGTAGTTTCTAACAGTCTCTCAGTCTCTCTCTTTTTCTCTGTTTGCTTCTTTCAGCTCACAGTCTGTCCTCTCCAAAAACAAACCCTGCAGTGACGCATTAAACCAACAACTGAGTGTTTGAACAAGGTCTTTCTTCCAGGAATATGAATACTGAATAATCTATCCTCAAAAATCATATCCACATGACTGTGTATGCTGTGTTTTTGTCCCTCTGTGACTGTGCTGATCTTAATGTGTGGTCCAAACTGTGTGGTTAATTTAAACATGTCTTGATAGACGGTGAGTAGCCTTCCTCCTGTCTAGGATAAACACCTATAATACTCTGGCTCCCTTGGCAATCACCATAGCAACAAACCATGGTACCCACGTGAGTTGCATAATAAGATGTTCCCCAAGACCATGGACCATAAAGCCGCGACAAACTAGCTACCCACAGCGATGAACGTGAATCAGAAAATAACCATTCAAATGTCAAATTTCACCTCTGACTCATTCCAGACAATTCTTTTCTAATCATCAATACGGCTTGCATCATACAACACACACTCTCAGATGCACATGCACCTTCTCTCTGTCTCTCCAGACCTTAACAGGTGCTGATGAGCCGCAGTCAATGATTGTAATGAGCTATCGATCACCGTGGGAAAACAGAGGGACAGAGAGGGGTGAGGAAGGTAGGGGGAACCAGAGGACACACACACAAACAGAAGGAGGTGGACTGCCAGAAAAAAAAACTTCAGATGAACTAAATGGAGACAAGCTACCCAAGACAGAGTATCAATACTTGCTTTAATCAAGTCTTTATCTCCTATTGTTCTGCTTAAAATAGAATTTATGGGAATGTGCTTTCTGCCAGCCCAGGTTGAAGGGAACTGTTTCAGTCCAGAGCAGCTTCTGGACTGGCTGATCCGCTCTGGATGACCGTGCAGACATGCTTGTCATGACGGAGTCCTGATGCCAGTGAATGGCACTGACGCAGTATCTCTATTTTCTTGTCTTTTTGTGCTGTATGCATGGAGTGGAGGCAGACAGCTTTAGGGAAGGGGGAGGAGCGTTGTGTGTGTGTGTGTGTGTGTGTCGTGTGTGTTGGCTGGCGTTTCAGATAATGAAATGCAGCAGGGAACAAAGAGCTGGGGGCCCCTATTCTCTGTGCTGCAGCTTCATTTTCACTCCCGTCAGTCTATGATTCTTCCATAGCCTCTTTCTTGTGTACGTGTATGTGTGTGGGTGTGTGTTTATGTTTGTATGAGTAGTTTGTTGTGTGTACCAGTGTCCCCCTCCTCCTCCTGTTAGTATTCTGCATGGCAGATCCCCCTAATGTAATAACTGTGTCTGCATGTCTAATTTACAGCAGGAGAGAGTAAATAGCCTGTGGTTAATTACAGTACGTGTGTGTGTATGTGTGTGTGTGTGTGTGTGTGTGTCTATGCATGTGTCTACACGCGCGTGGGTGTGTCAGAATGATTTATGAGTTGCAAATAGCTACACCAGTGGCCCGTTTCTCCTCACTTAGTTTTTAATCTGTCTTTCCATTAATTTTCCTGGAGACGTTATTATGGTTTTATAACAGTGTGCACGAGGATGCACATGTGAGTGCACGTATGTGTTAATGAGACAGAGGTGTGGACATTGTGTGAGGATTGCGGCTACTCGGGCACCTGAGCTACACTACGCGTTTTTCCCCGTTTCCACCTTTTCCATTTCACTTCCTTCCTTTCCCCTGTTTCTATTTTCCGGTGCTTCATTCACTCTCTTCATTGAGAGCCACAATGAACACAGATCTTTATTGACAGTACATGGTAGAACATGGAAACAGCAGGTCAATCCGTTTAGCCCAAGGGCCGATACACCAATTCACCAATTTGTCAGTGTTAGTTTGAGAGAGAAAAGCAGCTAATCTCTCCTCTCTGCTCTCTATTGATCACACACTTAGACTCCACTTCTCTGTCTAAACACTATTGATTCCCTCTCTCTCTCAATCTCTTTCTCTCTCTCCCTCTCTTTCTGTCTTGCCCTCGCCACATACCACAGCTCTCAACACATCTTCCCTTCGTACACTCTTGACTACTTCTCAGATAAGAGCCAGAATAATGTACATGTACACGAAGCCCTGAGTCACATTTTTGATGAATACTTGGGAATAGTTTAGCATGAACAAAATAAGACTTAGAAGTAATTTCAGTAATACTGTATTATGCATGCAGCTTATCAACTATACAAAGCATTTTAGAGTTTGGTTCACAAGTGTCACAAATTACTGTTCCCTGCTGCGTACTTTCAAACGCTTATGCATGGTCTCATTAAAAAAATCAATTACTTAGCAACCCCTCTACAACGTGAATACAGACCATGATTAAAAACTCACTGCCGGGTACACCGTCTCATGGCTTTGTTTTTCAGTCTCACATCATAGGGTGCACTTGAAAAGGACCACATTCCTGTCAATATGAAGGCTACGTAAAAACTATACAATGATTATCTTAAGGGAGATGTCCCCCAGCATTTTTTTTTTATTCAAATTGAGCGAAGGGTATCTATTTGATTGGATGTATCTTGTGGGGACCCCCTGTCATGACACATTTTAGCTGAGGTGTACGAACTGGTCGTGGAGGCATTGTACTGTAGACAGGAAGATGAAAGAGAGAGGCAGAGCGAAAGATGTGACGAAAACAGAATATAGCATTTATTATATCTATGTCTCTCAAACCTAATGTCAAATGAATGAAATGTAAACAGGGAATCCCAACTGTTACTACACATGCTGTGAAAAAACAGCCATGCACCCATGGGTTTCACTATCCTCCACACATGGCTCTTATTTATAAGACTGGTGCACCACCTACTGGTGATATGATCCCATTACAGACACCTTTAGTTTTTGCAGGTTACAAAACACGGACACATGGCTTGTGTAACTCAAAATCAGCTGTTTGGTAACCAGTACTGAGGGTAGGTGGAGGATCTCGGGGAGTGCTTTATTTTCTCAATGCCTGACTTTAAGCCATGTACTAGATTTATTATAAATTAGCAGCAGTTTTAAGGCATTTTATATCTATAATTTTAATCGTCACCTTTTTTTACCTGAAGATGCCTCCTTCAACTGCGGCTGGTGCCGAAGACAGAAAAGCCTTAGTGAGAAAGATGTTAAGGGAAGTTCTGGAGGGTCGAGAGGATCCAGAAGGGTTTTTCGCCATGTGTGTGTCCGCCCTGGGGCACCAGGAGACCCGGTCACAGTTCCTGTCCCTCATCCAGCCTCTGTCCACGGCCAGCAGCTCCCTGCACTCCACCCTGACCTCCATCTACAAGGAGTATTTCTCTAAGGTCAGCGAGTGTTTGTTGAATATCAAGTTGTAACCGTTTTTAATACACGGGTTACAAAGAATACATTTCAGGAAAGAGCTGTTTTTCTTTTAATAAGACGTGTTTAAAACTCCCATTAAAACAACAAGAACGCATATTATATAAAAATATTTATCTAAAGTTGGTCTGTTGTGTCTTACTTACCCATTTAACCTGCATATAGCGATTCTTCACCTCTACGAGAGGCAAAAATACTCAAAATGTATAAACTGTAGGTGAAGTTATGACGGCTAGCAACACGGCCATATTGAAAATACATTTAATTACATTTAAGTGCCACTTTTATTGACATTTTAACCCTTTTTTGGTCTAGCAGCTCCTGATAAAAAGACCTGGCTCTTCAGTCCCTCCTTTACTGTACTCAGGTAACGCTAGCTTCAGCTTTGTGGTAGCTCCTGCTCCCCCTCACGGTTTTAGTATTGTTGTGACTTTCTCGGACCAAACACACCATAACAAGTAATAAATACAATTAAATATGTATATAAATGGAAAATAAAATACAATTAGTAAAAAACTTAACATTTAATATAACAATATCAATAATTATATGAGCAGAGTGTACAAAAATTAGATTTTAACCATATATATAGGTAAAGGCATACCTATAGCCCTGTATACCTGTAGTAAATACCCAATAATAATTAAATAATTAACAATTACCACCATAAAATCAATAAACCAATATAATCCCTTACACTTACAAGAGATTATATTGCACAGTGCACCATTTTCACTGACCTTTCCACAAACTTGTCCATGTAATGTAATACATAATGTGTACGATAAAATGGGCAGTATTGATACCTTAACAGCAATGTTAATTAAAAATGGACAGAATAAAAGCATGCTTTGGGCTTCTGGGATACTTTGGACAGTTATTTAATGGGAGACCAGATACTTGTTTATTAAAAATGACCTTATTAAACATACGAGTTTTAACCACATAACTCAATGTAAGAGACATTAACACTAGATAGCTTATACGTTTCTCCAACAGTGAGCTTGATACCCCGAAGACTATAAGGAGTTATTTTAACAGTTGTAATAATGGGTTGTTCTGATCAAATTGTAGACTGAAGATGATGAACTGGAACTTGCGTTGGCTCTCTCTCTACTGGAAATGAAAGAGCAGCAGCTGTCAACCCCGGGCCACCAGTCCCGACCTCAGCAACCTGGAGACAGACTGAAGCAGAGAAGCTCTCTTCAACTGATCTCGGTATCTCAGCCACAGGGAAGCAGACACACCCAACTAGTAGATGCAGTTGGCCAGAGAGAAAACACCAACTCACAAACTGAACCCTGGGTAAAGGTAAACCCAACACAGACAACTCGAGAGACTGAGCTTCAGAAGAACACACAAGTTTACAAATATAATAAGGAGGCACCGGAAACAAGTCAGACTGTGTGTGTCTCCTTTTCCAAGCAAGAAATGGTTGAAGAAGGCGACCAAGTAATGGGCGAGGGAGATTTGAATAAATCAGACAAACCAAAACGCTCTAAGAACAGGCGTCAGCGGCGTAAAGGCACTGGCCAGCAGGTTGTGGGTTTGCCTTGTTCTCCATCAGCTCCGCCACCGGTACTGCTCTGGTTCAGGAGGGACTTGCGACTTTGTGACAACCCTGCTCTCAATGGCTCATTGGAGGTTGGTGCACCTGTTATCCCCGTCTTCATCTGGAGCCCTGAAGAGGAGGAGGGACCTGGGATTACGGTGGCTATGGGGGGAGCTTGTGAGTTGACAGAGCACATCACTTCCTTTGGTTGTTGCTGGTCTTGTCTTATAACTTTTCATACAAGACTAAAGCTTATTCATTTGCAAGTTTCCTGACTGTTGTCTAATCACATCTTTTTTTTTATTTGATCACAGGTAAATACTGGCTTCATCAAGCTTTGTCTTGTTTCTGTTCATCTCTGGAGCGCATTGGCAGCCATCTTGTCTTTCTCAGGGCTAGTGGAGAGGGGAAGGAGGTTGGATCTTCTTTGCGTACGCTTAAGCAACTTGTAAAGGAGACAGGGGCGAGAACAGTCTTGGCTAATGCCCTCTACGAGCCCTGGCTGAAGGAGAGGGATAATGTGGTGGTCTCAGCCCTTCAGAAAGATGGTGTTGAATGCCGGATGGTCCACTCGTACTGTCTCAGAGACCCCTACTCTATCAGCACGGACGGTGTGGGACTCAGAGGTTAGTCACAACAGAATTCATTTGATGTATGGAGCTTGTTTAAATATTTGTTTTTAATATTAATGTATGGCAATATAAGCTGATTGTCAATATGTTCATTTTATTGTGAACTCTAGGAATAGGTTCAGTGTCTCACTTCATGAGCTGCTGTAAACAGAACCCAGGACCTGCATTAGGGGTTCCCCTGGACCCTCCTGTATCTCTTCCCACACCTGGCCACTGGCCTCAGGGTGTCTCTTTGGACACGTTAGGCCTGGCACGCATGCCCCGCAGGAAAGATGGCACAACGGTCAGTAACCACTAGCAGAGCAGTCCTGCAGGGACGAGCCATAGCCCAATATACAATTAAGATTAGATCATGAAGTCCTCATAATTTCTTGTGTTCATTTTGGCATTCAGATTGACTGGGCAGCGAACATTCGTAAAGCCTGGGATTTCAGTGAAGAAGGAGCACATGCCCAGCTGGAGGCCTTTCTTCAGGATGGTGAGACACCTTGCATGCACACTGTTAACATATAAACACTTAAAGGACATCTGTGTAGGATTTAGACTCTAAATCCTACACAGATGTCCTTTAAGTGCTCTAAATTTTAGAGGACTCTAGCGGTATAGTTGCAGAATGAAAACCATTCACCTTAGCTTTACCCAAGCGTGTAGGAGAAACTACACTGGCTGTGAAACATGAAAGGCCCCATCTAACGTCCTTGTTTGTTTGGTTTGTCTGTTCTGGGCTACTGTAGAAACACTGGGGGAACCACTCCCTCTGTAGATAAAACCCCGCTTAATTCGAAACGAAAACACAAGAGTATTATACACAAATGAAAACATACCTATGAATATATCTTCCCTGTCTGCCAGTAGGTCCTCCTAAACGTTACACACTGGACCTTTAAGAAAAGAGGAGTTGATCTAACAGCACCTTTTGATTCCCCAATGTATCCTAGGTGTGTATAGATATGAAAAGGAGTCGGGCAGGGCGGATGCTCCAAATACCAGCTGTCTGTCTCCCTACCTTCACTTTGGTCAACTCAGCCCACGCTGGCTGCTGTGGGACGCCAAAGGGGCACGCTGTAGACCCCCGAAGTTCCAACGTAAACTGGCGTGGAGAGATTTGGCTTACTGGCAGCTGATATTGTTTCCTGACCTCCCCTGGGAATCCCTCAGGCCTCCATACAAGGTAGGAATTGGCTACAAATATCTTGACAACACTTGAACACTTTGTTAGATATTAATGCAAAGAAATAATTATATAAAGTTGTCAGTAATTAAAAGGCTGTATCACACTATGAAGAACTATGTTTATAGCAAAGCATTATTCATCCACTGGTAATTGCAGGCTCTGCGGTGGAGCAGTGATCGGGGCCACCTGAAGGCCTGGCAGAGAGGACAAACAGGCTACCCTCTGGTGGACGCAGCCATGAGGCAGCTGTGGCTGACAGGCTGGATGAATAACTACATGAGACACGTGGTGGCATCTTTTCTCATAGCATATCTCTACCTGCCCTGGCAAGAAGGCTATCGCTGGTTCCAGGTGAGACGAACACAGGCATATCACATGCAGCAACACAGTATAATAGGTACTGTTTACTGACTGTATCCACGTATGTTTAAGGACACCCTGGTGGATGCAGATGTTGCCATAGATGCTATGATGTGGCAGAATGGAGGCATGTGTGGTCTGGATCACTGGAACTTTGTCATGCACCCCGTCGATGCAGCAATGACCTGCGATCCCTACGGCAGCTATGTTAGGAAATGGTGTCCTGAACTTGCAGATCTGCCTGATGAGCTTATTCACAAACCCTGGAAATGTCCCGCATCCATGCTTCGACGTGCTGGTGAGGAAGTTATCATCATCTATTGGCTTCTTTAGTTAGTTGTTCAGCTTAAAAAAACAACTTCCTTTCCTTGCTCTCTTCACTGTTTAGGTGTAGTGTTTGGGCAGACGTATCCTGAGCGAATAATAACAGACCTGGAGGAGCGGAGGAGTCGGTCTCTGCAAGATGTAGCTTTGGTGCGGAAGGAGTTTGGACAGTATGTGGATAAGCGCTCAGGCTGCGACTTGGTGCCTCTGCCCCCACGCCTTGTCTCCGAGGCTCTGGGCTTGTCACAAAGGGATGAGGGTGTGGTGACAGCAGGGAAGCAGTTCCTGTTGCCCGTTATCACCCGCATGGAATTCAAACACCAGCTTGAAGATCCAGATGCAGATGCCGCCTCAAATCCCTACAGTGCTGTTCTTAAAGGATACGTGAGCCGCAAGAGGGATGAGACCATTGCCTTCCTTAATGAGAGAGACTTTACTGCCAGTGTGATGTATGAGGGAACCCAGAGAAAGGAGAGGCTGGAGAGTGATTACCGCAGAATGGAGGGACTCCCTCAACCTCCTGCACCTCGGGGCCGAGCCAGACGAACGCCAACAGCAAAGGACAGGTTTTCTATAGTACCTGGTGGGGCGGTCACTTCACTCAAGTGACCCAGAGGTCAAGACTGAAAGTTTACAGGTTCAAGGTGACCAGTTACTAGTAAAATGCACAAAAGTACAAAATGTTACAGAATAATCTTTAAGATGAGGCAAGAACAGGCCAATGTGGATAGAGTGAGGAAAATGCGCTTGTGTTGAAACAATCGCAACAATGTGTGCCAGGGGGTTGCAAAACATTTTGTACGTTAAATATTCAGTATAATCTCAGGTATTGAGCAATGGCGTCATTCTAGGTAACAATACACTTGACGTCAGTGCAGCTTCTTTTCTTAAAGGCCCAGTCTGTATCCGTTTCCCATAAATACACACACACATTGTAGCGTTTGAGTGTTTACAACCTGATGTAAGCAACATCAGAATAACTTATGTCAGTGTGTGAATGAAAATACTTCAGTGAAGTTGGAAGTTTTTTATCAGGTTCCAATTTTGTATTTAGAATTTTTGGTTGTTGGGTTACCTTTTTGTATGAGTTTAAGTGGAAGTATAACTGGGTCTGATTTTAGGCTTAATGGTGTGTATGGTCAGAACAGTGATTGAATGAAACTGTCAGACAAAGCATATCACATGTTCAGTGCCTTACGACAAGGTGTCATTTTTAAAACTGCCCATACTTATAAAGTTTAAACTTTGGAAAATAAAAAGATGAAAGAAAACACAATGTTTCAGGAAATGTTTATTTTCTACTTTACAGGTCCCTTGTCTACAGTGTTGCTGTCAAACATGCAGTGTAGACCAACATTATTATTAATACCATAAAGACCAAAGTGCTTTTTTAAGTCTAACATTGAACATTAGAACAGAAATTCAAGTTTTGACTGAAATGCTTGGACAATTCTATTGACTGAGTCTCAGTCTCTTCTGTTTGAGGATTTGAGGTTGCAATAACTCAACATTAGAGGTTAAGTCAGAGCAGACAGGTCCTCTATAATCAGTCTTTAACAGTAGATAAAGGATTCCTAATGTTCACAGCTCTACAACACTGGCAGGTCAGCAATCTGGAGCTCTTGAGCCCCCCCTGGTGGATGCTAAGTATAGCATTGTAGCTGACCCAGGCACAACCTGTGGGTCTTCCTGCCAGTGGTGTTTGAAAAGGAGAAAGGGGTCATAGCACTTATTAGGAGGTGTTAGGTTAGTCCTCAATGGAGCGGATGTATCTCTCGTAGGCTGCTTCGTCCATTAGAGCATCAAGCTCTGCAGAGTTGGCGATGGTCATCTTCATCAGCCAACCTATGTTGAAAAGGTTAAAATCAAGTTAAGCAATGACTAAAGGAACATATCAGTGCATACTTCAGCCCATTTGTCACAAGTCAAATATTTTTAACATCACTGCCACCATTGGCTTTCTTTTTTCATTATAGTATAAAAATCTGTTTGGGACAGTGAGCCTGCTTGAGTTTGGTAATCCATCCCAGTGAAAAATAGTTCTGTGTTATAGTTAAGTTACATTATGAACCCACAGTAAAAGTATCAGTGGAAAGTGCATCACAATTCAATTATAATGTAATTTCTACAATAGCAAAAAGCAGAGTTTGGTAAGATGGAAAACCACATAAACCAAGTTTCAAGTCCCCAAGTGGATTTTAATATGTGTAAATGAAAGGAAACCTAGTTGTTGTCTGGGAGGTAGAAAAACCACATGAATAAATCCAACTGGTGCTATTGAATGGCTAGCAGTAATTTGAAGATTGGACACCAGAGAAGGGTAAAATTAACTCACCTTAGGATCAGAAAAGTAGAAGATGGTTATTCAGTTCATTTTTAGAATAGTCAAGCATATCAAGTACATATTTTATTAATCTATAAAAGTTATTCCGGTGTCCCCTTTTAATTTTTGTTGGATTACTGCACCTTCTAAAATAAGGACGTACAGTCATTAACTCCAAACCTTTACTTTAAATTTTTATGGAGTAAAAAACCAAAACAAAAGTTTTTCAAAAATTAATATTTTGAGTTTTTGAAGTTACGTAAGCTTATTTGTAAGTTGGTTCCTTTTTTGGTTTATACGATTCAACATGAACAGTTCTTTAAAAACTATACCTCTATAGAATGTCACTTTTCAGAAACAGGTAAAAAGACTGTAAGTACTAACTTATAACGCCAACCCACACCACGCTACTTAATATGTGACTCCAACTTTCCAAAGTTGTTTAACCCTTCAAAAGCAGAATATCCGGGTTAAAGAATAACAATAATTATGGGGAGGATAATATCCTTGTGTTGTTTACAATCTTTTTGAAGATTTTTGACCCAGCCAGGGCTTTTGCCAGAGTTATTGACTTACACTTCTTCCCGTAAAAAGGGAATTAGGCATGTGCCTTAACGTTCCCTCAAATATTTCGTAACAGTGATTTAGAAAAAGTGATTTTAAGGTTAGTTAAAAGCCGAGTCGGAATGGTAACAAAAAAAGGATTAGGAACTTGATAAGTATTGCGTGGACAGGTTTGTCACTGATAGTAGTATGGTGAAAACTTAGAATAACAAAACAACAATATGAGCATTGTTTACTTATACTCACAAACAAACAGGAAAAATAACCAATGTGTGTCCTTTTTGATGCCCTTCGGTTGAATTAAGTAGCTATCTTACTGTCATTTATAAAGCAATAACTAGATGTTACATTCACAGGCAGATAATCGATCATTAGTATGTTGATCAAGTCATTTGTACGGTGGCCCTGAGGTGCAA